AAATGGAGTACCAAATAAAAGAATTAAAATGGTTTTTGTGTTTTTCTGCAGAGGGAGCACATGTATACTCAGATAAGAAAGATGCCCTTCAAGCTGTAAAGACGATGAAGGGAGCCCGTTTTAAAGCCTTTTCCAGCCGTGAGGATGCTGAGAAGTTTGCTAAGGGGATCTGTGATTACTTTCCCTCTCCCAACAAGTCAGTGTGTGTCTCTCCTGTCAAACCAGGCCTGCCCATCAGTAAAGGTAAGTACATGAAATGATTTAGGCTTCTCTTCTAAAAGAGCTTTACAGTATTTTTTTGTGTATTTTTATTAAATTGAATTAGTTTTTATTTTCTCATCTTGTGTTAGTTTATTGCCTGATAAAGCAGTGCATACAGTGGTCGCTGTATTTATTACAGTGTGAATATAGAGGTGCAGCATAGTTCAAACGAAGATTTCACAGTTTGCTGATGTATCTGACATGTTAAAAGGCACATGCGGATAAAAAGACTACAGATCGAGCTAGAATCCGAGCCATTGTGCAAAGCACTCCTGAAAAACTCTTCACTGCAGTGACCTGCTTCGTCTCTTCCTCCCTTCCACCCCAGACAACGTGGAGGTCGATACCATCAACCGGGAGCGTGCCAACAGTTTTAAGAGCCCGCGCTCCCAGGACCTGACGGCCAAACTAAGGAAAGCTGTGGAGAAGGGCGATGAGACGGCCTTCAGCGAACTGGTCTGGGGCAATCCACGCTATCTCATTGGCTCAGGAGATAATCCCACTATTGTTCAGGTGGGAACATGTAGTGAATACTTTTGTTATATTCGGACTGTTTATAACACTGAGTGAAAGTTGCATGGTATCTAGCATCTTAAGATAGCACAGAGATGCCGCCACAATCTCTGGAAAGTCTTTGCTATTAATAGAGTAGCATGGCCTGACTTGTCATTTGTTGATACATAAATATTTTGACTATATCAGCGCCAGCCTTTCAGTTACTGTGTGTGTGTGTGTGTGTGTGTGTGTGTGT